CAGGAAAGTACACTGGAGAAACTCATGTTCTGTGTTTAGAGAAAAAAGTTGTGACCTGATTGAATGAGACTTATGTGCCCACGGCTCACAGACAACTAAACAAACAGTCACATTAACAGTTTTTGCCACTTGAAAGTACTTGTCATTCTTAATGGAATGTGAAAAAAAAAAGAAAGACATCAACTTAAGTGATTTGTGTATTTACAGAAAAAAGTTGCAGAAAAGAGAAAATTTTCCTATTTAAAAGTTCTTTTGGCCGGGCGGTGGTGGCACACACCTTTAATCCCAGCACTCGGGAGGCAGAGGCAGGCGGATCTCTGTGAGTTCGAGGCCAGGCTGGACCAACAGCCTCCAAAACAATACAGAGAAACCCTGTATCATAAACCAAAAAAAAAAGTTCTTTTGTAAATTTTCTTTTACAATTTTAAACGTTATTATTAAAATCTTGCAGTAAAATAAATAATCTTTAAGTGTTTGCAATGAAATGTTATCGGGTTGCCTCTGCAAGCACATTCCCATCTTCTCTGTCATTCTGCAGGTCTGGATACTCCCTGCCCCTCGAGGCTAGGTCAACTTCAGACACATGGATAGACCCCTCGCCTTAGCGTCTTTGGAAGTTCAGAGTGGGGTGGGGTACACGTTCCCAGGACAGAGATTATTTCAGGGGAAGAACCTGCACTTGCACACATCTGTTTGAAGTTAGGTGCCTGTCACTCAAGGCACTGATGAATTTTCTTCCCCAGGTGCTTTCCTTGCTTTGGCTTCGGGTCTTCATGTTTGGACTCCCTACTCTCCCCACTTCCCTGCAGCATCAATCACTCCTCATACCTGCCACAGGGAGGAATTCAGGCCTCCTGGGAGCAGGCATCACCCACATCCTTCACCCCGCCTGCCACCTAGGAGGTGCTCCTGCAGGTCACTGGCTTTCCCCTTGATATGCCTGCATGTGGCTCTGGCGCTGAGATGACTGAAAGGGGCTGCTCTGGTTTCCTTCAGAGAGACTGTGATTTCTGCTCTGACGTCTCTAGGATACGCTCTCCTATCACAAGTGAGGGCTTCTGCCTCAATGGCGAGCCTACAGCAACTGAGAAAGAACCTCCTCACACAGTGTTTTAGTGTTTTGTACTGACTTGATTTGGGGAGAACACCTGTAGACTTTCAATACTTCCCAAAAGGCTGAAGAGACACACAGTAGAGCATGACCCTGGAAGCACAGGAACATGGGAAGGGATAGAGGGCTGTGGAGGTTAGACGAGAGGAAGTGTTTCCTCTGACGCAGAGTCAGTGTGTGGCTGTTGTTCTCCTCTTGTTTTGTTTTGTTTTGTATTTATGGGCTGGGTCTCATTCAGCAGCCCAGGCAGGTGTCCAGCATATACTACAAGGCTGAGACTTGTGTCACACTCATGCTTCAGCCTCCCATATGCCGGATTTCAGGTGTGAGCAGTGCTCCAGAACACAGGGGCGACTCTGAGGACAGAATAGATTGAGTTTGGAGACAATCAGCAAATAAGGGAGATGAACATATGCTCAGAGAACACAGGGAGCAAGCTCCAGGAGGCCAGAAACCTCTCACTCCAGAAGCCTTGTCTTCTCTAGCTGGGCAGTTCCAGAACACCCAGAGGACTTGGGAGAGGACCCTGCTGGGCAGAGCCTGCTTCCAGACTTTGAGAAGTCTGCAGCCTTTCCCCTCACTGTCTGAAGAAAGAAGGTGCAAGTGTGAGGAGGACTCATAGCCACAATACCTTAGTGAGGTGATGCTCTCTGTTCCTTTAAAAAGACAAAAGGCACAGAGTTGTGGGACACAAATGAGCTACAGTATGCAACATCCTTAGGGTGGTGATTGACAAGGAGTGGGCGCTATGTACATGTCAGCTGCTCCCCATTATTTTCAGAGAATCCAGAAGTGTGTTTGTGTTAAATCTCCAGTAACTACAGGAACCAAGAGCATCAGAGAGACCCAGTCCTGGCTCTGGGTTTATCTCCTTAACTTGGTGCCCAGATGGCACTGCATGACTAGAAAGGAAGCCTATGGTTGACTCTACTCTGCCGTGTGAACACATTCTGACCCATGTGCATCCCTGCAGTTTTCTTCTTGAGCCCTTTGCCTCTTGCCATTTTCCTCTCCTTGCTTCATCTGAGTCATTTTGAGTTGGAATATTAAAGTCATCTCCATTTCTTCAAGTCCATGCTTGATGTGACTTCCTGGCTCTTCTTTACCTTGCAATTTCTTTGTATTTCAGGTCACAGTGATTCTCCCTCAGCAATTTTTCTTGACATTTCCATGACCTTCATCCCTTGGCACTTCCTTCTTCTTCGTAGTCCTTAAACCTCCGTGAATCTCCCTGATTACTTGTCATGCAGCCGTAGCATATTTTAAATGTATAATAGATCACAGAGCAAATGGCTTGCAGGAAGCAGCATTTGTTGTTTTAGTCTCTTGATCTCATGTGTCCATGTTCCTTGCCTTAGTTGACCTTGGCAAGTAGCAAATGTCCTCAGGCCCCTGAACTTCTCCAAAGATCAATCTCATTGCTGAAATCATGTGCTGGATATATTTCAAATGTTTAATCATGTCACTATTTTTATTTTCATTGAAATTGAGTGTATTATGAACTAAAATGACATAAGAACCTCACTTCATGCTTTCTTTTTTACAAATTTATGCACATAACATAACAAAATTCTGTAGTTTATTCATGGAAACTTTTTTCTTGAGATTACAATATAACTACATCAATATATATATATATGTACATGTATATATATATATATATATATTCCTAAATATAACCTTCTTAGTCTGTAGAGTGTTACTTGTATGTACATTTACAGGACTGACCATAGGTATTGAATAACCAATTGCTGTGTCCTTCCATTTAGAAGACTATTACTCAGGCTCTCAGCATTTCTTAGCTGCCCATAGTTCCTTGTTTAGGGTTGACATCTCGGTGGCATTCCCTTGACCACATTTATTAAGCATTTTTTCCCATTGGGCACAAAATTCTACATGCCAACAACGATTTTTCCAACAGGGAATTTTTAAGATTCATTTAGAAATTCAGGTGAAGAAAAATCCCTACCACTCCCACCATTTTGGATGCTAACAGGTGACATCTTTCCTTTAAGCATATCCTAACCAATTCCCTGTCTCTAGAGGGCACTCCAAAATTTATTGCACAGTATCACCATCCACTGATTCAAGACAATAGTACCTTTTCCAAAATGCTTCCCCATGCTCTGTAAGGGATGATGTCTTCAATCCATGATTCCATTAATAAAGTATTGTTCTGCCCACACATAGTCTCCCTGAAATCTTACATTTATTGCTAGGATGGTATAGACCCTCAAATTAAAAAGTGGTCTACACAAGACCTGGACCAAAGCATTCTTCATGTCCCTTAAATATGTCTTACAAATCAGACAGGTGTATATTGTGATGTGTGGATAAGAACTACCACTTGCTTTTTCTCACCTGACTGTTTCTCTTGCGATAGTCTAGTTCTTTTATGTAACTTGAATTTTAGGTGATATTACCTGTCACGCACATGTATCATTTTACTTTGGTCGTTTGGTCCCATCAATACCTCCTTTCCTTTCCTCACTATGAATAGTTCCTCCTCTTCTTTCATGTCATGCAAATACAGATAGAGGCGTAGATACATAATACATACAAATTATGCATATTATAGAAAACATGATATTTGTCTTTCTGCTTTCAACTACTTTGTTAAACTCAATAATATCCTGACCCATTTATTTCCATGTAAGTGACATAATTCACTTCTCCTTAGGATCAATGAAATCCCATTCTGTATATACCACATTTTCTTTCTCTACTTATCTTCTGATGGGCATCTAATTTGATCCTTTGGCTTGGTTATTTTGACTAAACCTATAGTAATTATAGATGTGCACACAATCTGTGGCATTCCCGTATATATCCAAGTGATCTACCTGGATTTCAGAGTAATTCTTTTGTTTTAGTTTTTGTTTGTTGGTTAGTTTTTTAACGTGAGGGACCATCATACTAATGTCCATAGATTCAGCACTGGAAAACTTCCACAAATTAGTGGTTATCTAGGCAATGTGACAAGGTTATTAACATGCTGTATCTGCTGTCCTGATAAAACTTCAGCAGAGTTTTATCTATACTCATTTACCATGGTTAAAAGGAAATTCAGAGAGACAGGATAGCTGCTCAAGGATAAGTCATGAGCACATTCTGTCCCCTGGGTCTGAAGTCACAACTGCACGAGTCACACAGGCATACACCGATCATCCTTCCCTCCCTGGCATAAAGCAACAAGGAGCCCTAAGAACTGACAGTGCCCTTTGATTCACGAGAGGGGACACCCTAAACATCTAAGAGAGCAGGAAAAATGTGTCTACTATTTGGAGTGAACAATGAACGTTAATCGAAAGAAATTACTGTTATTAAGCCACTTAAGTAAGGATCAGAAGGAAATAAGTTTCCTCTGGAACTCCAGGAAGAGGAGGGTCAGCAGGAAAGCCTGCTTGCGAAAGGGTGTGTGGTCGTGCATGAACCCCAGGCACTGGAACCCTCAGAAACAGGTGCAAACAATATGAAGTGGCTTAAAATTGGAAAATGAACATTAAAGGACAAGGAAAAGACATGAACAAAGAAAGATGAAGGAGAAAAGAGGGAAAGAATGAAAGGAGTGAGAAGAAGACGATGAAGAAGATGAAGAGGGATAAATGAAGGAGAGAGGGGTGCAAAGGAGGAAGAGAATGTCTTTTTAAAGATCAAACTATAGTGCTGTAATCTGCATTATTTTTGAAATTGCTTGGGGAAAGGTCACCAGTGGTCATATGTCAAACTTTAATTCTCAAAGTCTTGTTCTTAATCATTTGTTTCCTTGTTTTGTACAAACAAATCGTAGGCCTCTTTGGCTCTGTTTCATGTTCTCTCATGTTGTCTGGTACAATGTCACAGTGTTCTCATGATTTACGTTCTTGTTTCCAGGGTGACTCTAAGGTAGCTGCCCAAGAAATAAATAGAGGCATGCTGAGGTCTCAACTCCAGAAGTTCTCTGAGCTCCATCTTGTACCAGAGACCGACCGACAAGAGCTGCCTCAACATGAAGTTGGTCATAGTCTTCATGCTGGCCATCATCCCCGTTTACTGCCGAACCAATAGTGAGTTCTGTGGAAGGGTGGGCAGCTTTTGGAGCACAGGTTGTTTTCTGTTCTACAGGAAGAAGTCCTAGCGCCTGAGCCAGAACATGTCAACAGTGGTACAAAGCATCTAATGCAATATCCCTAAAACTCATGCTAGTCCAGATAATCAAAGAGGTATCACTGATGTGGGTTCGGCCCCAGTGCTGGGGTTGCATCGGATATGTCATAACTATGCAGGAGGTCCCATGATAGTAACAGTTCTCCTGATATCTATGGCAGGTTTTGGATTTGGGTATGAGATTATTTTACAGGAAATGGGGAAGATAAAAATGACACTGGACCTAAATGGGCTTCGGTATAATTGTACTTATGAATCTCTTTAACTGTGCAAGGAGTTTCCTCTCAAACTGCATCATGTGACATTGGACCACTAACTTCCTATTTCTGCTGGCAGAGAGGATAGCTCACATTCCTCAAGTCCACCTGAAGTAATGACAGAAGTAAAGCTTTGTCTCTGAGGATGTAGTCAGTACAAACATGTCACCTGTGTATAGACTCTGTATGATTTGTATTGTTTATGTTGCCTATTTCACTTATCTGAGAGATTGGAGCAAAATAACAAGAAGGTGGAGTTCTCAGTTAACTTGATGGGAAAATCAGGGTTAGCCTTATGCTTAGAGTAAAACTAGTTAATTTGAACCTACTTTCTGACCTCTTTCTCTTCCACTAGTTGCCTGAATGACATCACTTTGAGTGACAGAGTTGATGTTTTATGATACTTTTAGATGCAGATGATAGAATTAATGGTGACAGTGATTAATAATTATGAACTATTTTAAAATACTTCATGGGGTTCACAAGCAGCACTGAGATGCATCATGACTAGAAGAAAGACACAGCTGTTCGATGTGTCCCATCAGAACAAAGCTTCTGACTTTTTTTGCTTGTTTGTTTGTTTTTCTTTTGCTTTGTTTTCAAGACAAGGTTTCTCTGAGTAGCTTTGTAGACCAAGCTGGCCTCAAACTCACAGAGTTCTGCCTGCCTCTGCCTCCCAATTGCTGGGACTAAAGGTATGCACCATCACCGCCCAGGTAGGTTTCTTGTTTCTTGCGTGTCATAGCTGACAAAGGTTGTGTGAGTTTTGACTTCCCTTGTTGGCTTGTTAGGGGCAAGTTTTCGAGACCTGAAGGAATCTTGCAGGCTGCAACCATTTTCTGCATGAAGTCACTTCAAGTACTAGAGTTTCTGTTTAAGATGCTTTGTGGTGCCAATGCTAGAGGTGAAGAGCCAAGTGGACAATATTCTAGACCTGATAGCTATAGGATATTTGAACAATCTCTATGAAGTTCTCATAACTGTAACAAAATGTGGCAGGCTTTGACCAATCAAAGACCCGAAATGCTTACCATGCCCACCACTGTGGCCTGCCATCTACTCAGTGTCCTTGTCAGGGAAGGTTGTGTGAGGTTTGGCTTCTCTGTGCTGTGTCAGGGGCAGATTTTGCAGTTACTAAGTGGAATCTCACAGCCTGCATTTTCTGTCCCAGACTTGGCAGTGCTCCACCACCTTGGCTAATCTGTGTCTCTATTTGTACTCAAGGTGCTCATTGTCATGAGAGGTAACCTCTAATGAGTTAAGACCTCCAGTGATGAATGCAATGTCTTTCCAGGTTCTGGCTGCAATGCATTGGATGATGCTATTGCAAAGACCATTAACTCATCAGTGTCTATGGAAGAATATCACGAAACAGTTCAAAAATACACATTTCTTCCTTATATCCGACGTACTATGGAAAAGTTCAAGGAATGTTTTGCAAAACAGTCTAATGAGACTCAGCATAATGTTTTTGTGATGGAGGTAATTATAAATTTCCCCCTTTTTGCATTATATAACTATATATACTTGAATTATATAACTATATATACATACATACCCCCACACACACCCACATATATATTCCACTAATGAGGAAAAACAAGGTTCCAACTTTGTGACTAATAAGATCAAAGTAAAAACAGTCTATGTACTATTTTTAAATGATATGATTTGATTTAGTGATGACATTTTGTTCAAGAAAGCCATTGAAAGACACAGTTGATATTCCATCTTATTCTCAGGATTTTAAAATAATGAAAGAAAAACATAAAAATTAAGGAGATCACTCTCTTATCCATTACTTCCAACTCACACAAATAAAGGTGTGCACACACACAGGCAGGCACACTCACACGAACACACACATAATATGCCATCACATATAGAAACCCCTCAAATTCTTTAGTCAGAGAAAAATAAATCGATTCTCAGGAAGCCCTGCTTTGTTTCAGTGATCATGGACCCTTTCATTTGGAACTAATAAAGAAAAAGTGTAGCAAATCAGAGTTTTGAGAACATAATGACTAATGGTTTCTTAAAAAAAAGAAAGACAAGTTGAAGAGATTGCTCAGAGGGTAAGAGGATTGACATCTCTTTCAGAGATCCTGAGTTTAATTCCCAGCACCCACATGGTGGCTCAAAACCGGAGATATTCTGGACTGCAGGGAGATGTGCAGAGAGAACATTGTATATATAATAAACAAGTAAAAGCTTTAATAAATATAATGTAATGTAATGTAAATATAATCTTTTCAAGTATGAAAATGTAGTTCTAAGAACTTATCTAAAGTGTCCCTGATCCCTTTTAAACATCCTGCATGTGCCAAATCTTAGAAATATGCCCAGTTTTAAGTAAAACCACAGTATAATGGCCCTAAAAGTACTGGTGGGAGTTCTCTATGCGGCTCTAATATAACTCATGTTTTAGAACATTGGGGAATTTTTTAAGTCACCCTCTTTCTCTTAATCAAGGATTTACTTGTGTGAATATTGAGAGAATACTTGCAGAGCAGTTCAAATTGAGGTCTTCAAATACCTTTAGCCAAAGAGGACTCTCACTTTAGATGGACCAAGAATGGGTTCCTATAGAAGTGGCTGAGGGCTTTTGAAGTTATAGGGGAAAAGTAATCAAGGGGAGTCTTTGAATAAAAATGCAAAATCATTTGGGGTTTGTTACTGCTCTTGTTTTCATGATTCCTCTTCTCATAAATGATAGAACGCATGTACCTAGTCAGATTCTTCTCTGGGACTTTTCTGGAATATTTAATAGCAGTTGAAAACATTGGAAAAAATTTAAAAACAAGAACTTTTTCCTTTCAATATTGGGCTCTCCAGTCAACATTCCTAATTGAAGTCACTTCTCAATTACTTTTCAGTTTGCCATTTACAACAGTGACAAGTGTTCAGGATATTAACCTTCCACGAGACCTTTGGATCATAAGCCAGCAGTGATACCACAAATCATAACTTTTCTTTCGTGATTGTATCTTTCTGTCTATAAAGTGCAAGATAATTGTTGGAATCTCAAAGGCATTTCTTTCTACTTCATTAAATTAAAAGCAAATACCAATGATCCTTTTGTGATCTTTTAAAACCGGGGGCTTAAAAGCCCTGCTAACCTCCACTCAAGGACACATACCCACACCTGCCTCCCGAGCAGCCTTCAAGGGATATGAAGGCAGGAAAGTGTCTCCCCCTCACCATGCATGAGTCCCCTCTCTGGCTGCTTTCTCACCACTACCTCTACTCTTCATCCTACGCATTACCGTGCTGGGGTCTGAGGCTGGGGTGTGCCCACAGTCCTGCTGTCACCAGGATGCTGTGTCTACAAGAACTAGGAAACAAAGATGGCCCCACATAGACCACTCAATCAGAGCTCAGGTTCAGGGCAAGAAATCATATGATCATCTCATATGAGGAAAAGGGCTTTGATCAACTTCAGAGCGTTTGTTTGCGTGTTTGTTTTGTTTTTAAGATACTTCCATTAATGGCAAGATGTCCTGATGAAGTTAGGAATCAAAGAAAATGACTAGTATGGCAAATGTTTCTTATGTCAAACTTAATAAAATGAAAAAAAAACAAGCAGGACTCTGACACAAGGAAAGTAAACTGTCTCCTCTGATAATGAGGGAGGAGGGTAGTGTGTCTGTTCCCTGAGTGCTTTTCCCTGGGTTCCTGTGGTGACTGAGTGTCAGAAATGTCTCCCATGGACGTGTGTGTTTGAACACTCGGTCCCCAGTATGTGGAGACATTTGTGAATGCTGTGGAAATTATAGGGCAGTGGTTCTCCATCTTCCTGATGCTGCAGTCCTTTAAAAGCTCCTACGATGTGATGGCCCCAACCATAAAATTATTTTCGTTGCTACTTCATAACTGTAGTTTTGCTACTGTTCTGAGTTGCAATGTAAATATCTAGCATGCAAGATATCTGATATGCGATCCCTATGATCGGGATCATGACCCATAAGTTGAGATCGGCTCCTTTAAAACATGGAGCGTTGCTGGAAGAAAGACATCACTCAGAGAGGATTTGAGGTTTTAAAGCCTGGCCCCACATCGTATGTCCCTTCTCTGCTTCGTGCATGTAGATGAAAATGTGCTCAGCCAGCTTCCTGTCCCTGCTGCTGTGTCATCCCTGCCTGTCACCGTCTCTTCCCTGCTGTGATGGGCTCCATAACTCTGAACTTTAAACCAGATAAATCCATTCTTCCCTAACTAGAGCTGCCCGAATTTTCAGCCAAGGAAAACAGGTCAAAAGAAACACACAACAAAAACCACAGGAATAAATCAAGTTGTCCTGGTTTGAAGAGAATATGATCCAATAATTAAAACAGACTCTATGAGAAATTCGTATACCAAGATACTCTATTAGAACAGCGTCAAAATGTGAAACAGAACATACAAAAGCCAGCAGCATTTCTATACACCCCTAAGGAGTACACTGAAAGGGAATTTAAGAATACAATGCCATTCAACATAGATACCTATAAAAGTGCCTGTCCTACATTGATTGCCACTGATGTGGTAAAATATCCTGAAAAAAATAGCCTAAGGGAGAAAAGGTTTATTGTACACACAATTCAGACCTACAACCCTCACTGTGGTGGAGTCACAGCTGCAGAAACTTGGAGCTGTTGGTTCCATCACACCATGCTCAAGAGCAGAAGGTAAGGAATGCATGCATTCTTACTGCTTACCTGCTTGTGCTCAGGCTGACTCACACAGTTCAGGGCTCTCTGTCTTGGAAAGGGTGCTGTCTCCCACAAACATAGTCATGCCATAACCCAACAAGATCTAGCCAAGGCTATCCTCCAGGTGAGTGCAGTCCTAATCAGTGTGACAGTCACCTAAACAAAGAGGTGTAAGACTCCCACAGTGAAACCTTTCAAACTTTGAGGAAAGAGAATGAATAAGACCTTACTCCTTAGGAAAAACACATATTCTCATGGATCAGCAAAATAAATACTGTTAAAATATCCATATTATTGAAAAAGGTTATAGATTCAGCGAAATTCCTATCAAGATTCCAAAAACTAATCTTTAGGGAAATAGGAAAAAACAAACCAAAACAAAATCCCACATTTGAATGGAAACACAGAAGCCTCTGATTATCCTAAGCAATTCATAGCAAAAAGAACAATGCTAAAGGTGTCACAATATCTTATTTCCAATTGAACTCCTGAGCTATGGTACTAAAACCTGCCTGGTACTGGTATGAAAAGGGATGTGACCAATGGAACATTTTAGAAGAGTCAAAAATAAAACATTCATCTCCAACCTCGCCATTATTGTGTCAAAACACATTAGAGAAGAAAAATTAGTATTTTTTATTAAACATTTAATTTAATTTTAAAATTCAATAAATTTAGCAATGCAATTTCATAAAATTGCATTAATTAATAATCTACATCCCTCCAAAGAATTCATTTCAAAATATAACAAAGACTATACCGTAAATCCTGAAATAGAAACTAATAACAGGAAAACAGAGAGGAAATAGTGACCCAAGCATAGACAAGGACACTTAGGAAGTTAGATCCAAACGGACAAACAGGATGACTTGACATTTTAAAAGTGCCGAAAGGAAAAATGTCAAAGTGCACAGAAAACTGATAGACTGAGAAACACCCTCTGCCAATTCTTTATTTGACCAGGTATGGATTTCAGAACACATACAGACTTGAGAATACATTGTTCCCGCCTCTGTGCCAGAAGGTCCCCTGAGCCTTGAGGGGAATGAAATGGGAATCATATTGAGGGCTGAAGGCTCCATCATCATGTCTCAGCACTTTGGCCAGTTAAAGATTCTGTATTAACCACTGCCTACTGTGGTAAACAGTTCTCTGATGAAGGCTGAGTACAGTACTATCTTTGACACAAACATGCATATTTAGAAGACAGTTTGACAATATAACCATTTAGAAAAACAACAATAGTAGAGAACTCCCCATGCAGAAAAATAATAATAAGTCTCCCATTGAGAATCACTTAGATGTGGGCAAGGGTGAGTCTGTAGCCAATCTTTGCTGTTTGCACCAGGCTGGACTCAGCAGAACCTACCAGAGACGTCCTGGTGCATTCTGGGCAAAGTAGCCATATAGCATTTTCATAAGCGCTTCCATGAATATGTTTGGTTTTTAAAAATTCTTTGTGCATTCTGGATATTAATGCTCTGTCAGGTGTATGGCTGGCAAAGCTTCTTTCATCTCCCTCCAGTCAGAACAGCTAAGATGGACACAACAACAGACAACAAAGGCTGGCAATAATGTGAGGGACAGAGGAAGCCCCATTCATTGGTGGGAATGCAAATTGGTGCAGCCACTCTGGAAATCAGTATATATGAGCCAGATATACAGTTGGCGCCTAGCCACCACAGGGTCTCTGAGTTGTTTGTCAGCTGATAACCACAGGTGCATCTTGTTTTCTAGTCCTGGCTTACTGCCCCTGCATTGCCCCACTGACATCAACATCTAGCAGGAGGAAAACATGATCTCTTCCACCTGCGGTTTTTCTACTGTGTTGTAAGACTATATATAAGACTGCTCCCTCCTACAAGAGGGAGACATCTTAGCACTTGCAAAATAAAGACACGTTTTAGTACAAACAGCTGGACATCTGGTTCCACTGAGCCTCTAATTGCATCTCCAGACTGCACTGCTCTCCACCAAGCCTCAGAATCCTAGACTGCTATGCTCTCCTTAGAGTGGCTGGAGACTAATTCCTACATGAGACCCTTTGCTTCTTTTTGATACCTTTCTAGAGATGGAATTAAAGGCATGATGTCTGTTACTGACTCTCCTGTAGTTTTGTTGGCCTTGAATTCAGAGGGATCCATCTGTCTTCAGTCTCACAAGCCCTGGGATTAAGGATGTGTGCCACAACTGCCCAGCTTCTACAGCTATCTAGTGTGGCTGCTTTACATTCTGATCCTTCAGGAAAGCTTTATTAAATCATAAACAATATATCACCACAAGATAAAATGTAGCTACCAGTCCTCATCAAAAACTTCTCTTTACGGCAGGTGGAAACCATCATGGAAAACCACACTTGGACACAATGCAGAGATCAATTGTTCCTGGAGCCCAGCCCAAACAGACACTTCAACATAAGTCCTTCTTCTATGGCTCAGAAACATTTTGAAAGAAGAGCAGAAAGATTGTAAGAGTTAGAACCAAGGGAAATGTGCTAGGAAAACGACTTCCTAGGAATGGCTGCATAGACAAGACAAGACCAATGGCAGTACCAATGGACATACTAACAGGGAAGAGAGATTCTCCCATTTAGACATGGAGCTACAGTCAACTAATGACTGCTAAGAAGGAAGGATTTGAGTCCCCTCATTGGTTACCCAATATAAAGAGGTCAGCCCTAAAACCATACACAGAAACCACAAAAGGAGACTCGCTCAGGAAAGTACAAGTCAGTGGCTTAGATGTCACCTGGATTTAGTTGGGTCTGATTGTTGCCTTTCTAAACTTCAAAACTTTAATGAAATTTGCTTCCTAATCAACCTAGAAAAAAATTGGAAATATAATTAGAGCATTCATCATAAAACAATAAATGCTCCTTCCTGAAAGTCAATAACTCTGTCATTATTACACATTTAATATTTGCTAGAGCTGCATGAGAAGGGATCATGGAGCTTCATGCAGCTTCAAGGAACATGAAGAAGGAAGTGCCAAGGGATGAAGGTCATGGAAATGTCAAGAAAAATTGCTGAGGGAGAATCACTGTGACCTGAAATACAAAGAAATTGCAAGGTAAAGAAGAGCCAGGAAGTCACATCAAGCATGGACTTGAAGAAATGGAGATGACTTTAATATTCCAACTCAAAATGACTCAGATGAAGCAAGGAGAGGAAAATGGCAAGAGGCAAAGGGCTCAAGAAGAAAACTGCAGGGATGCACATGGGTCAGAATGTGTTCACACGGCAGAGTAGAGTCAACCATAGGCTTCCTTTCTAGTCATGCAGTGCCATCTGGGCACCAAGTTAAGGAGATAAACCCAGAGCCAGGACTGGGTCTCTCTGATGCTCTTGGTTCCTGTAGTTACTGGAGATTTAACACAAAC